TATACGTTAATTAAAAAAATTAAAATAAAAAGTATTGAAAGATTTATGTTCTATTTAAATTTTTTAATATAAAATATATTTTAAAATAAATTATCATTTAAAAATTTATATTATACATTAAAAATATGTTTATATCATAAATAAAATAAACTTGATTTTTTTATAAAATTTAATATATTTATTTTTATATTTTTATTAGTGTTAAATTATTATAAAGTAGGTCTTTCAAATTATATTTCTAACTAAATATTTAAAAGATATTTATGACAGATAAATAAGTCGTACATAAAATAAAATTTTTTTGAAAAAAAATTAAGTTCAAATTTATTAAATTATATTATAATCTAATTTAAACTAATTTATTTTTATTTTTAATTATAATTATAAATACAAAAACTTATAAAAAATAATTATAATATATTTATATTTTTAAAAATTATATATAAAATTTTTAATATTATAAATATATAAATAAATTTTATTTTTACTATCTGGATTTCTTACTCAAACATATTAAAGTTAAGATATTTCACATCATTTTAAATCATATTTTCATAAAAGATACCTTTTGTTTTCTTTATTCATTTTCATCGAACAGAACAAAAGTAGTTAATGATTGGACCCATTATAAGTATTGTAATAATTATTGCTTTCAATGTGCCAACTCACAAGGTGTGACGTCCCTATTTGTTTTCTCTTCTTTGTTTTCTATTTACCTAAACATTCTGTAACAGAGGGACTCTGAACGTGTGATAGTGTGAGCCATTCAATTATAAAAAATTAAATTTTATCACATAGTAAAAGTTATTCAAATATACAATGGCAGGTATATATAAAAAGTAAAAATATGATTTATTCCTAATGAATAAAGCTAGACCAGACACAGTTTGATAGGAGTTAAGTGGATGTGAGTCTCTGTTGGAGGATTTTTATGATTTTCTACTTTGATCCTAGTGGTGTTATGGTGGAAAATCTCGTCTAGGATTAAGATAAGAAACTATGCACAACCATAACCAGTGATGAATGCAGGTGTTTTAAACAATGGGAGCAATATTTATATAAATTTATATTTTTGTTTGTTTCTTTTATTACATAAGTTTTTAATTTGCATAATTAAAATTTGAATAATAATTTTCTTAAAATACAGAACTTATACTATTATTAAAATTCATAATAAATAAATAAATTTAATTATTTTAATTAAAACTTGGTTTTATAATGAACAGTTTGAATTGTAACAAAGTTATTATTAACTATTTGTAATTAAAATATTTTTTAAATTTAGTAATAAAAATAAAAGATGGTATATTAAAATAAAATATTAAAAAATTCAAACTCAATTGTAAAGATAAATGCAATGTTGTGCCAAATAAATACTTAAAGAGAGACTTTTTGACCAACTATTATAACATCTCGAACACAACGAGTGAGATCCATAAATTTAGCAATTGAAGATAACTTAATACATGCATGGATTATTAGATATGGCAAGTAGTCATATGTTCATGTAAAATAGTCCTTTCCACACACATACCTTACAAGAGTTTAGAGTTTAGAGTAGTCCTCGTAGAAGAGTTTCTTGAAAAGTTGCATATGTGCTATCTGGAAGTGTATGGACACAATAACAGATCCATCGCCCTCTGGGCTCAGAAGAATCAGTGCCCTATCATGTGAATTCACATACCCTAAACCAAAATATATAGGCTTTCCCCACCCAAAATCTGCTTCATACACCGGCAAGTTCATCCAGCTTGTTATCTGAATATTAGGATTCCCTGGAAAATGAGCAAGGCTACGTTCTCCTTGTCCCATGAAGAATGCCTTTATGCAATCTAAGTGTTCCTGCCCTAATACAGCCTCTGATTGTGACCTTATGTACTCATTTGAAACCATTTCATTTGCTTCTCTTACTTTTTGGGCAGCATAGCTCAATGGTTTCGACATAATTTCTCCAGCGTAACATTTTGGTGTCACTGTTGCCACCAAAGCATTCCCAAAATAGTTCCTAGGAAGAGGAGGAATTAGTCTATTGCGAATATCCACATTGAACCTAAGTAGAGTTGGTTGCTTCTCATCAAGTTCACGAGCCTTTGATGCACATCTCCATATATGAGCAGTGATAGCTTCAAATCTGCTATAATGTCTCGACCCTTCTTTCACGGGTTGCTCATTGGCCTTCTTCTTCAGCTTCTCCACTTGTTTAGCTGTTAGCTTCAATAACACAGCCCTTGTCTTCTTCTTTTTCTCAGCAGCATCATCGGAGGTTCCAAGTTTCAGCGGAAGAGGCTTCAACTCTGGGTGATCAAAGCGTGGTGATGAAGGTGAACGTTGGAATATTAGTGCTGTTCTATCCAAAAAAGATGGCATTTCATGTGGCTCTAGTGTCTCTCCTCGAGTCACCTTTGCCCATGAATTGATGAATCGAATATGAGCAAGCCCATCAGACAAAACATGAGAGTTAGCCGATCCAATGGCAAAGCCTTCACCACCATGGAACCTTGTCAGTTGCACAAACAACAAAGGAAGCTCCTCTATAGGTTGTGTAGTGTAATCAATCTTTGGAACGAGTTCCTTGATGGATTCAGAAGGTGAAAAGTCTCCATAATCACTCATTGATTTTGTGGTTTCAGCTTCAAGAAATGTGACTCCCTTTGCATTGCAATCCAATTCCATTCGACCACTTTCTGTTAAGCTCAATCTGCCAGCTATTGGATAGTAGAACACTAAAATTTTGCTGAGTGACTTTATCATCTTCTCAGTGGTGTTGTGGTTGTGCTTTGCTTTGTAAATATAGATATTGGGTGTGTGACCCAAACGCACCACTTGGTCGTAATCTGATAACCTTAAACGAGTCTCGGGAGTTTCTTCACTTGGAACAACACAATAAGATGCAACAATGTTTAACATTTTTGTCCTTGTAGAGGTTGCGGATATGGAAGAGTTTAGATCTGAGGAGTTTTAAATAAGAAAATTGATTTTTGAGATAGTGAAGGAAAACAGAGGCACGGGTTTATAAGATAGAATGGTAGTATTGCTCTGTTAATCATGATACAATGATGTAGTATGCCTATTTATAGGCCAGCTTTTGAGATAGTGAAGTAAAATTATTTCTAGCTTAGTCTTTTTTTTTTTTTTTTTTTTTTTTTTTATACAGCATTCTCTAGTTTTTTTTATACAGCATTCTCTAGAATTTAACAAGATAATTATGGAATTTGTATCAGCAGCCAATACTCCTCTTTGGAGCGAATTTTGGGAACTCCGAGTATAATCTACAATTATATAAATTGTATTGTTTTTGCGTAGAAACACTCCTCTTGTTACTCCTTCTTTATAATTTTCAGAGTCTTCGGTGCCGATCGAATACTATCTCCAATGGGTGGGGAGGGTACCTGCAAAGGCACTTCGACGATCAAGTAAGTGTTCGGTATAGAGCAATAAAGGTTTTATATTGGATAAAACGTACCTCATTTATTACCCATCACCTGTGTATTTATAATGATGTATTGGGCCTGGTGGACCTTCTGTCTTGGGAGATGATAGACTATGGCCAAGGCCAAGGAATCCAAGAGGTGATATACTAAAAGAACCAAGAGGAATGGGATGATCTTAAAGACCTTTTTCTTATGTTTGTACATATAGTAGCTCTTTTGTATAGGTTATTTTTGCCTTTGTATTTGTGAGGCACTTTACTTACTTTTTCTAGTGTTTGTATATTGATTTTAAGGTAGGCTACTTGGAGAGTTTAACTCCATTTAACCTCCCTAGTTGATACATTCATTTTGTATTTTTTCAGTAGAGAAAAGGGAGTGACATTTAGCAATACTTGAGGGTGTGACTAGTAATTGGGTCAGAACTGGGCCTATGCAAAATTTTGCATATTGGACTCATTTTGCTCCTAATTTTTCATAGATTTGATTTAGCTAGGTCTCATCATCATATGATGAACCTAACTAAACCAAATCAAATATTTTTGAAATAAATCTTGGAGCAATTTGGAGCCAAGGCCGCCTAGCATTCTCTTTTGTTCATGGCCGAAAATTACTAGTTTTCCTTCTAGTTTTTGAAGCTTCTCCTCCAAGTTTCTAAACCATTGTAAGTTAGGCTGACCTTACCATGGTTCTTAAGTGAACCATGGTCAAGGATAGCTTCTCCTACAAGTTTTAGAAACCATGGATGGTTAGCTACACCTTACCATGGTTCCTAGTGAACCATGGTTAAGGTTAGCTTCTCCTAGAAGCTACCTCCCCTATATATTTGTAAAACCCTCTCTTGTAATCACTTTTGGACATTTATGAGAAAAAGAATTCAGAATTCTCTCTCATTTTTCAAGAGTCAAATTCGTGAGAACCTTCTCCTAGGTTTTCTCTCACGGTTCCTTCTCCTAGAAGCTTGGTTCCTCAAGCTTCTCCACTTCTTCAAGAGGTAACCGAACCTCTCTTAGGTGCTTCCCCACCATTGGAGAATCCTCCAAGGTGATTCCGCCACCTTCAAGGAGTTCAACCTCATGGAGCATTTCGGTCCTTGCATGGAAAGCTTGGAAGAATATCAATCCTCTCCAAGTACTTCCATCAGGAGATGGGTAATGTCTTTGGTTAACCTTAATCTCTCTTAATTAGACGTGATAATCATTGCATAATAGATATCCTAATCTGCCATGTGTTCTCTGTGAGTTGTCCTTCTTTTGGATCTTCGGCAAAGCTTAAGGCCAAAGGGGTATTCGGCCAAGCTTATGGCCGAAGGGGAGTTCGGCTCAGCTTAAGGCTGAAAGGAGGGTTCGGCCAAGCCTAAGGCCGAAAAGGGTATTCGGCCATTCTTGAACCCGAAGAGGTGTTCGGTCATGGTTTGAACCGAGGGGTGATTTGAGCGCCTCCTCTTGATGGTCTTTTGCCCAGTTCTGAAGTCTTCACTTTGTTTTGGGTAAAGTACTCGGTTGTCCCTAAGGCCGAACAGGGTCTCGGCCAAGTCCAAGACTGAACAGGATTTCGTCCAAGTCCAAGGCCGAAGGGGTAATACGTGGAGATTTTGTTGGTTTAGGTGCTTGTCTCGGCCTAGGATTCGGCCGAGAGGGTGTTTACTAGTACACTGCCCCCCAAGCCCAAGGATGAAAGACGAAGGAGTTTGAGAATTTTTAGGGTTTTGGTGTTGAAGGGGGGTGTTCTGGCACGTGCACCTCGGGAGTCGTGCCCTTTCATGTCATGATTGTGACCGTTGCATGCTTTGGCTGCCTTTGGGTTTCGTGCCCTGAGGTTGTGTCCTTTCGTTTCCAAAAGCATTTATGAGGGGCTTTTGGGATGCCGGGGATTTTCCTATATATAGGGTGGTATGGTCACCACCCTTGTCGCGCTTCCTTCATAATATACACTCTGCCCCGACACCCTCATTGCTTGTAAGCCAAGTACTCATTTTCTAAGGTAGGTTCGATTTAGCTTTCAGTCGGGTCACTTGGTTTTAATGGCAACTGAAAGGGTAACCTTGTCATCTGGGTTTTTGTCCGATGCGAGGGTCTCGGCACGTAACGCCAAGGCCGAGGTGTTTGAGGGTTATCCTAGAAGCTTGGGGCTAAGTAGTGGCATCCGGAAGTTCCTCATCCGACTCAGACCTTCCCGATGCTGAGATGAGCCCTCGGGATTATAGGCAAAAATTTCCCCAGTGTGAGATGTCGGGATATGAATGGGTTGATGGTGAAGTTGCGGCGTACTTCTCGCGTTTTTATGAGAGGTGTACATGTAATTAATCTCCTCTTTTTGATTTCTTCTTTTTGAAAATTGTAATAGAGTAAGTTAGGAAAGATAAAGAATAAAAGTTTTTCAAATTTGATAAATGTTGGTTGATCTATAAGGGGTATTTTCATGGGTTTACCTGGTTCAAGTCTACCGGTCTGTTAGGATGCCTCAGCTGTATACATCACTGCACTTCCACTTGACACCTATCGTTAATTGTGGAACGGCTCCTTAGTGTGTTTACATTGGCCCGGTGGGAAGATTCGGATCCCTACCCGTTTATGTTGCGTTGGTGCCGATCCGAAGGCCCTGGGGGAGCCGACCTGGTGTTTCTTACGAAACAGGAAGGTCAGGGGGATTTCTTTTACATGTACGAGTGTTTCTTTCGAGAGCTCGGCATGTCCCTCCCTTTGGATGATTTCCAAATGGGAGTACTTCGTGTGTTGAACGTTGTGCCGACCCAATTGCATCCGAATGGGTGGGCTTATATGCAAGCGTTTCGAGTCCTTTGTAAATACCACTATATAGAGCCTAGTGTCGGTTTATTTTTACATTTTTTCTGTACTCGTCCCTCCAATAAATCAGTTAAGTGGCTATCCTTGATTAGGCATGCCGATCGGCCGCTTCTGAGGCCTTTTACTTCATCTTTTAAAGGGTTTAAATCAGGGTTTGTGAAAGTAATCATAGACCCCGTTGCCGGCCAGAGTTGTTTCTACGATGCTGAGCAGAAGCCCCTTTTCCCCTTTTATTGGACTCAGCAGCCTCAAAAATACGATGATTTTCCGGTGGAGATGATGATCGAGGCCGAGGTTTCGGCCTTAAATTACTTGAAAGAATTACCTCGGGGGATCCCTGCTCGGTTTCTGGTGCTTTTGCCCAAATCACCTCGGCCTCGCTTTGAATTAGAGGGTATGTATTTGTTTTCCCTATCGGTCGTTCTTGTTAAGTTGATGTGTGACTGTTTGATTTTTGCAGGCTGGATGGCGCAATACGGTCTCGGATTATCCTACCGTCAAGCGATGAGGAATTGAGCCCCGGCAGGGACCTCGGCTTACGACCACCGCAACGTGGCTATTGATCAGGTTTCAGGAATCGCCGCTGCCCCTCAGCCTACTCCCCGAGACGTAGTGTTTTATGACCCCAATCCAAAAAAGAAAAGGGACAAGGGTAAAAGGAAGGCCGATGCGACTGGAGGGGAGACAAATCGGCCTAAGCATCGTCGAGCCAAGGGGCTTTCAACGGACTTGGCCATCCCTTCAGCCATCTTTGCCAAAGATTTCTTATCCGAAGAGGTTCAGCCAGCCCGGATGATGTCTTCGGACTTGCTCTCGGAGTAGGGTCACTGGATGCTTGACTTTGCCGCTCCTTCGGCTCAATGGGCCATGGCTTGCGAATTGTAGATCCGGGCCACGGCGATACTCCGGAAGTTAGCCTTGGAGCCGATGGCCGACATTTATAACCTCCAGAGGAATTTGGAGGAAACGAAGACATCCTTCCAACAATCGGTTGAGGCCCATGAAGCCACCTCCAACGAGAAGCTAGCATTGGAGGCCGAGGTGGCTCGATTAAAAGAGTCCTTAGGTGAGATGGGGGGCTGGGCGATTGCGGCGGAGGACGCCGAATGGATGAGGGTCCGAGAGGTGCAAGAGATCACGGCTCGGGAACAACAGGCCAAGGCCGATGCCGAGGCTGCCATGGCTGCATTCCGGACCAATTGTGAGAATAAAATAATCAATGAGCATGAGGCCGAATTTTGGCATGCGGTTCGACAAGCCACCCACTTCGGCACCTTTCCTCCCAACTTCTCCTTCGAACTGAGCAAGGATTTTTTCCGTGGAGTGTTCTTGGATTTTGCCGATGCCGACGACGATGTTAAGCCGGATGAAGTGGCTCCCCCTCGTTCAGCCGCCCCTGAGGATCCCAGGGCTACTATGAACGATGATGAGGAGACCGAGCAGACCACCCATGCCGATTGATGGGCTTTGGCTTTTTGTTTTTTGCTTGTACATCTGTTTTGATGAAGATGTATAGATATAGGGTGCTTTTTGTTACCTTTACTTTTGATTCTTTTGGGCCATCCGAGCCATATCATGATTGTACCTTTCGGCCAATAACGCCGCTTCGACCATATAGCCTTTTAATGAATTGTTTTGCTTTTGCTCATTTGGATTCTACCTTGTTTCTTGACTCATTTAAATCAACTAAGTAATCAAGGTGTCCCGGATCCATGTTGGTTAACAGAGAAAGGTAACTAGGATAAATTTTGTTCATTATTGGCCGAAAGGGGGGAGAATACCTGGTTATTCTCGAGCGAGCCATGGGCGCTCAGAAGG